CATTCATGGAGTAGAAAATTTTGAATGCATTCACTAAATAAACTTTATTTCATAATGTTGTTATTTCATGTGATGTGTTTCAAAACCCTAAATAAAGATCATGACCACAAGGGTCAAATTTCATGTGATCATGTAAGGCCATGTGTCATTTGACTCAAATAACCCTAATGGGCCATGTTACTGGTCAAAAATCAAAGTTAAAGTAAAAGGAAGACAAATCAAATTTGAATTCAAATTCAAATTATAAAAGTCCTTTTTGCCCCTTTTGACTAATTCAAAATCCATGTGGAATTTGGGGTTGAGGCAAAAAGCAAAGTTGAAGATTATTTTATAAGGGTCAACTTTGGTATTCAAAGTTTTTCAAGTTTACATATAAAATTTGGAGTAATTTTGAAATGGTTCAAATACTCAAATGCACCCCAAATTCAAATTTCAAAATGGAGACAGAATTTGAAAATGTTCCTTGAAGCAAAGTTGTAGAGTTTGAAAAATTGAGCAACTTTCATTTTTGGAGATTTTCAACTTCTTTAGAAAATTTGTGAGTAATTTGAAAATAGACGCAGTGGCAATTCTGTAAATACTTCAAAATTGAAATTTGGCCGAGCGCCACCTCTCTGCTTGCCGCCGGTGCCACGCGGATGTCGCCGCCGATCAGATTGCGCCGCTTCCTCGCGCATTGACACGCAGCTGGTGCCGTGGCGGGTCCGTTCGTGCGCTGTCGACGCCGGGCAACCCCTTCCCGGCTATAAATAGCAACAGCCGCTGCCGTCGTCCCCGTTTTCCCCTTCTGCTCTGCTTCGCCGCCAGCTAGCTCCGCCGCTCGTCGTAGCCATCGTCGAGCCGCGTCCGTCGTGCCCAGCTATGCCAACGCGATCGCCTCAATCTTGCGCTTCTCTGCGGCTTGCTCACGTCGCTTGGGTTGGCCGGAATCGCCCGGCGCAACGTCTTCTTCCCCGAGCCCGGCCGGAGCTCCGCCACCATCGACTCGACGTGGCCAGGCCGTTCCAGACCGTCTCCGTCTTCACCAAACGTACCGGCGTGACCGTGGTGAGCTACTGAACGCGATACTCACTTTGTTTTAGACTCTACTACGCCATTGCCGGGGTTTCACCATGAGCCGTCGTGCTCAAGCCGTCATGGCCGACGTGGAGTCTTCTCCGGTGCGCCTTCTGCCATTCAAAGGGCGGGGATGGGTTCATAGGAGTGTGTAGATCATTTGGGTGCGGTCTGCCTCGCCGGAGCGTCACCGTCGGCGCATTTTAGGCCGGCCAGTGATGGCAGTGCCGCCGTGACCTGTATGAGTCACTGACGAGTGGGGTCGGGCTGTCAGTGAGAAGGAAGGAGAAGAACAGTGAGGTTTTATTATTTTCTGATTTTGAATAGTGCGAAAACTTTGGAAATTTGTAGGAAATTAATCATAGTTCTAAAAATTTTGAAATTTTTGTGTAGCTTCTGTACATGCTTTAGTATGGTTTAAAAATTTGAAACATGAAATTTGAATAAATTTTTAATGTTCAAATATTCAGTCCATTAATTAATAAATGCAATTTTCATGATTTTTGTAGGCCACTGTATAATTCTAAAAATTATGAAATTTGTTTTGGTACACTAATTTGTCCTGAGGAAGCTTACATAAAATTTTGAGGTCATTTGGAACAAGATCGTTTTTTGGGCTTATTTGCAAATTAATTCAAAAATAAATAAAAGCAAACCCTAAGTGTTTGATTAGTGTTTTATCTTGTTTTGATCATGTTTTGTGACCAGTAGGGTTTCAAGATTAGTGGTCGGAGAGTTCACCGTAGTGGTCGGAGAGTTCACCACAGTGGTCGGAGAGTTCACCGTAGTGGTCGGAGAGTTCACCGCAGTGGTCGGAGAGTTCACCGTAGTGGTTGGAGAATTCGCCGTAGTGGTCGGAGAGTTCACCATAGTGGTCGGAGAGTTCGCCGAAGTGGTCAGAGAGCTCGCCGAAGTGGTCAGAGAGCTCGCCGAAGTGGTCGGTGCTGACGTGGTCACATCGATTCTGAATATGATTTGGTTAGTTTGGCTTGTAAGCTGCTTAGTGAAGGAAAGTTGTATTCAAGGTGTTGTTATATTTCATGCACCATGAAAGCATCATGTTTACATTATCATCATGTTGAAGCATATGCTATTATTTCGTGTAGAATCCGAGAGTGAACCGATTCTAGTTGAGCAAGTTCTGGAAGAATCCCCGGTTGTCACGGGATTCGATAATAGTGGTGCTGATCCGGAACCTGAGATCGTCAACGAAGGCAAGCCACGGTTTTTGCATTAAACCATTACCTTGTTTACTTTGAAAAGTTTATCACCTATGTTACTTATTGCATTAAGTTGATTTATTCAAATGTTACCTACTTGATGCATTGCCTACCTTGTTGATTGTTTACCATCCTTGAAGATGATTTCATTTATAAAGGCGTAGAATTGCTTAGTATGCTTTATGGTAGGTTTTCAAAGTAAAAGTTTCGATACAATCAAAGATGGCATACTGGCCAAAGAAAGAAAGAAAGAAGATAGAATGAACTAGAGACTAGTTGGTGGCTTATCTTGAATGTTGAGTAATGTTGCCGACTATGTCACTTAAAGGCCACTCATTGTGGATCTTCTGAACGAGACACTTTGTAGTACTGGTCACATACTCCGGTAAGCCTACTTCGGCTAATCCGATACTAAGACGAATGCCCACGCACTGGGAGTGGTGAGATGGCGGGAGTAGCATGTACCCTCGTGGCTTGAATGTGGCTGGATTTGAGGCGTGTTGTGCTCTCGGGTGGCGTGGAGACCGCTTAGTACGGGAGGATCCAGTAGCGAGGTTGATATATGCAAGATTAAGTTCTACATATGTCGTGTGATAAGGAATCCCCAGCTGGGACTTGAATCAATTTGAATTGCCGGTGCTCCGCGGATATGGAGACTCGATTTATTATAGAAGCAATACAGGACTGATGAATTACTAAAACATGAGAAAAAGAATGGAATAAGAAGGATTGGAACATGGGATATGAACACTTGGTTGGAGATAATGAACTAAAGTACTTAGGGGTAAAACTCGAAATAGGATCAAGAATAGTAAGCTTTTGGCAAAGAACTTTTGAATCTTTCTACATCCTTACCTTGACCTAACACCTGCATCCCTAAGACCTTCGCCCTTTTTGGTCGGGTTAGTCTTGTTGAGTACTTTTGTACTCAGGGTTTGTTAACCTTTGTTACAGGTGAGTCGTGTGCGTAGGCTTGTTTTGGTCCCTGCATGTCAGTGTTTGAAGTTAATGACGATGAGGAATGATGAATGGCCTTTGGATAAGGCACTAGTTTGTGTGAAATAAATAATATTAATGTAATATTATCCCGCTACTATGGTTGTATGACACTTATGGTTTTGTAAGTTTGAAACAACTGGTTTGTAATATTAAAACTTAAGTCTTTCGCTTTATAATCTCTGGTATGTATATTGAAAACTGTTGTAATCTGCAATGACTGTGATTGGGATCCTGTTTGAAAAATATTCGTGGATGATTCGGGTTTCCCGAGGACACCCGACAGACCTGTTAAGTTGTTGGGAACTTGTGTATGCTATCTGAGGTCTGTTGAGACATCGATAGGTGTACGTGGGCCTGATTTCTTAGAAGGTTCTGCCACAAGTGTGCTACAGTGTAGAGAAACCGGCCCAACGCCTGGGGCTGTGGCCATAGTGGCCCTAGGCTTATATCCGCCACTGGCTTTGAGGGCACCTCACATCTTCACCCTCAGACTCCAGCACAGTGCACAGCCTTCGTGTCGTGTCATTTTATTGCTATATAATATGTGTGTCTTGCCTCTTATGTCATGGATCATTACTAATACAATATTATTTTTCATGTGACCCAGGTTAATCTACAGAGCTATTGTCATGTTGTGCATATTTGTGTGTTTATTGTATTTTAGATATCGCTTTCATAATTTTCGATCGTTATCGATTTACTTTTGATCGAATAGTTTCATTCCTGAATTTACCGGAATATCGATGTTGTTCTCGTTTCCGACAATATCGTATCGATTTCGTTTTTTTCAAAAAATAATGTGAAACTGAAAATAATTTGACCTCTTATCAACCGTTTCTAACCGTTTTCAATCCTAGTTGGGCCTGGTTGGTCCTGGATATGGACACGGATACGTGTGGCACGGCAATATGGATACGGCAACTCGGAGGCACGTACGGCACTCGGAGGCAGGTCTACGTGTGGCACGGCAATACGTACGGCACTCCGAGGCACGCACACCAAATTTTTGGACGAAAGGTCTACTTGTTTTTTAAGTAGTAAGTATATACTAGAATTACATAATGTATTTTCATAGCAAATTTATTTAGAGAAATAAATGTTAATACTATTCAAATATAAATTTGGTTAAAGGTGAGATTGTTTGACTGACACGATTTTCATAATTACACTATTTTTTTGGAGTATGTCCTATTGTAACGAAGATAAAAGAAATTTTTCTCCTTGTATGCCAATGATTGTAACGGAGATCCGGAGTAAAATAGGCCCAAAGGCCGTCCGCCGGTACGGGCCGGCTGCCCGGCTCCTAAGATACTGAGCGTGTTTGATGCTCCTCTTAAATTTAGTCGCTTCCCCCTTGAATATTTGATACATATATGAAGTATCAAATATAAACTAATTATGAAATTAATTATATAGTATGTGATTAATTTATAAGATGAATTTTTTAAATCTAATTAGTCCATAATTTGATAATGTTTTGCTACGGTAAACATATGGTAATAATAGATTAATTAGACTTAAAAATTCGTCTCGTAGAATACTGACAAATTATATAATTTGTTTTTTTATTAGTATCAATAACCCTATGCAACATCTTCCCAATACTACTCCTATTTTAGCCGGATCCAAACACCCCTAAGATTACAGTGAAACGGACCAATGTGCTTTTGACTTTTGACTCGTCAATTCCGCACCGTACCACTAAGGTTCTGCTCCTCGCCGGCGATGACGCCCGCGGAGACCTCGCCGCCGGCGCCACCTCCCCGTGCTACTCACCCTGTCTCAACCCCGCTCCTCCTACAAGACCCCACAATCCAGGCCACGCCCTCTTGGAGGGAGCAGCTCACGCTCCGTGGCATCGCCGTGGCGGCGGCGCTGGGCGCGCTGCTCTGCGTGGTAATCCACCGCCTCAACCTCACCGTCGGGGTCATACCGGCGCTGAACGTCGCCTCGGGCCTCCTCGCCTTCTTCCTCGCGGCGGCGTGGCGTGCTGCCGCCGGGAGGCTAGGGTTTGGCCGCGGGCCGCCCTTCACGAGGCAGGAGAACACCGTCATCCAGACGTGCGCCATAGCATGCGCCGGCCTCGCGTTTAGCGGTACGTCGGGTTCCTACTCTACTTCAAACTAGGATTCCCCATTTCACTGAATAAAGCGAATATCTTTTGAGCCCAAAGTTTTGCTGAAAAAAAAGTTATGCTTCGATCATTTTAAATTTCTTAAAGACGAATTATATGGTTTTAACTCTAGCATTTTTTTACTGTGAATTAGATAACCTGTCTTCTTTGTAGGGTGTTCCGCCTCCTACATCTTTGCTATGGACAGGAAGACTTATGAGCTCGTGGGACCAGACTATCCCGGTAATCGAGCAGAAGATGTTAGAGATCCCTCACTCGGCTGGATGATAAGCTTCTTGTTCCTCATTGCTCTCGTTGGGCCATTTAGCATTGTCTTGCTTCGGAAGGTACCTTCTTTTTTTGGTTGGGAAAATTTTGCAACATGCATCAGTTGGGTTCACGAGTCTGCCTCAGCCTTTTCAAAATAATGAACTTCAGAACATGGCTTTATAAAAAATTAAGGATAGCTTAGGACATCCATCAGTTTTTACCTTCTGTTGCTTAGTTGGAGTGTTTCTGTTTGTAAACAATCTCCGATCTTGTCATTGCAGGTAATGGTGATTGATTACAAGCTTACATTCCCTGGTGGGACAGCTACAGCTTTGATGATCAACAGCTTGCATGGGAAAACGGAAGGCGATCTTGCAGGGTAAGGCAACAGGTACTCATGTAATTACCTTCAATGTTTCATGATGGCAAGTATTTCCCCACCAGTTCAAAACAAGAACTCCTTTTCTGTACGAACAAATTGTAAGAACATGTACTTTAGGAGTTGAAGTCTGGTTGCTTATTGTCAGTACTAATGTTTCCTTTTTAAATTTAAAAAGTATGTAGACCGTGAACTAAACAATTCACGATGAGTGGAACAGGTGTGATCCATATGGCTCAAATAACATATTTCTGAACTGAACCTATTAGAAATTAGAAAATGAATGAATGGATCAGACACATCATATCTGTACATGCAGCACATTGTTAAGCAACATCCACTCTTGGTCTCAACAGCAAAAGTACCAATGTGCAGACGGTGTTGTTATTTTGTACCTTAAGTCCTTAACAAATGTTGCCTCATGTCTGTTTATGACTGTAGGCAGTTTTAGTTTGAAAGTCTATCCAATTCACATACTCATGTTATTCTATTTTGCAGGAAAAAGGTGCACTGCCTTGTAAAATACATGGGCATTAGTTTTTTCTGGAGCTTCTTTAAGTGGTTCTTTAGTGGTGTTGGTGACTCTTGTGGTTTCGACAATTTCCCTACATTTGGGATTGAAGCTTTTAAAAACACGTAAGTTCTCATAGTCTTATTTTTTCCCTCTCTTTTTCATCACTTATTGATGTGATTTTCCTCATCAGTTTACTGGTTAATCGTGTTTTTCCTTTGAATGATGTTTGTCCAGTGTATTTATTATGGATGAATCTTTGAGGTGTTTTTATCCAAGTCAACACTGGTTTAGTCATTAGGCTGGTTTCATAGCTATATTTTCTCAATATATTTTTATACTCATTAGGGAATATTTAAGATTAACTGACCCACCACAATGTAGATATGCCCCCAAGTCCACTGTTCAAATATTTCTGACAATGACAATTGAAGAATTGTAGTATCTGCAATCCTGTGCTGCTTGATCTAACTTACTCTGCCTTGGTTGAAATGAAAACAAATGAACTTACACTTCTAATTACTACTGTGCCACATGTTATATCTATGGTAGTATGTGTATTCATTTACCTATTCAAGCTTGAAACTAAAGTCTTGCATATATAAGATGCCTGAGGTGAATAAAACCACATTTTCTTCTAAGCTTTTTTTTTTGTACTCCGGCAGGTTTTATTTCGACTTCAGTCCTAGTTATGTTGGGTTTGGTCTTATTTCCCCTCATATTGTGAACTGCTCAGTTTTCCTTGGGTCAGTCATATCCTGGGGCTTTCTTTGGCCATTTATCAGTGCACAAGCTGGTCATTGGTACCCAGATAACCTTGGTAACAGTGATTTCAGAGGCCTGTATGGTTATAAGGTATATTGCTTTTTTATTTTTATTCACTAATAAGTGGATTTCTCTTTTTTATTGGATTTTCTTTGCAAACTACTGCTCTGCTGTTAGTATGACGACTCAACATGATTAATGTGCATGAGTTTCTTCAAGTGAATTTTGTTTCAAGGATCTGGATAATGATTTTTTTGGCCTGCAATATTAAAGATTGGTCATGCTGTCATGCTTGATTTCCTCATAAAATGTGTATTCATGCAGGTCTTCATAGCCATTTCTATCATACTTGGAGATGGCCTATACAACTTGGTTAAGATATTTGTTGTCATTGCTAGGGAATTCTGCAGTATGCAATCAAAAAAACGTGATCTGCCTGTTCAAGCTCTGGAAGCGGAAGGTAACATGTTACTTCTTAGTTGTAGTGCAATGTGTTGACACATGCTGTGAGATTAATTTGCGGCTTGTGAACATTACTTGTACAATATATAGCTCATTTAATATGCCGTCTTATGAAAAGCTTACCTCCCCATAGTATTTGTCCAATGCGTGTTTCATCGTATTATTTGCAGATGATGGGAGTTGTGAACAATTAACAGAAGGGAAACTACAAACAGAGGTATTCCTCAAAGATAGTATATCTCCTTGGTTTGCTGCTTCTGGTTACATTGTCCTGGCAGCAATATCCACCGCCACTGTGCCCACCATATTTCCCCAGCTCAAGTGGTACCTTGTCCTCTTGTGCTACTTCCTTGCTCCTGCTGTTGCATTCTGCAACTCCTACGGAATGGGCCTCACCAACCTGAACCTTGCCCCTACCTACGGCAAGATTGGCCTTTTCGCATTCGCCTCCCTTGTCGGCAGTGATGGCGGCGGAGTCATCGCCGGCTTTGCAGCCTGTGGCATCATAATGTCCATTGCCTGCTCCACAGCAGATCTAATGCAGGATTTCAAGAGCGCGTACCTGACCCTCTCCTCACCACGGTCAATGTTCATTGCCCAGCTGATCGGCATCGCGCTTGGGTGCATCATAGCACCACTCACGCTGTGGCTCTTCTGGACAGCCTTCGACATCGGCGACCCTGACGGAGAGTACAAAGCCCCCTTTGCCATCATGTTCCGGGAGATGGCCATCCTTGGTATTGAGGGCTTCTCCGCGCTGCCATTGCACTGCCTTGACATCTGCTATGCTGCCTTCTTCCTCGCCTTGGCCATCAGTCTCCTCAAGGACGTGACACCCGCAAACATGTCCAGGTTCATCCCCATACCGATTGCTATGGCTGCACCGTTCTACGTCGGCGCCTACTTTGGCGTGGACATGTTCATAGGCACAGTGATCTTGTACGTCTGGCAGAAGCTGAACCGGGAGGAGGCTGATGGTTACGCAGTGGCTGTGGCGTCCGGGCTGATCTGTGGAGATGGGATCTGGAGCATCCCTTCTGCTCTTCTGTCCATCCTGGGAGTTGTTCCACCCATCTGCATGTCCTTCAAGCCTTCCTCTGCTCCCAGGTGAGATGATGGATAGAAGTTCTATTCCTGGCCATATGTTTGCGCCGTTGATGAAATCATGTAAATTTGTAAATATACACAAAGAAGGTGTTGGTTGTAGTTCGTAATTTGTACAAAACAGTAGTACACGAGATGCATTATTACCTCTGATGATTTATGTGAAACAAAACCCGGCTTTGCATGTACCGATACAACAACAACATAGCCTTTCATTCAAAAGCAAGTTGAGGTAGGCTAGAATTAAAACCCTCAAGAGCCTTAAGTCACGGTTCAGTCACTTCAATAGCTATTTTCTAAGCACTCCTATTTAAACATAGATCTCTATGTATATTAAACTTTCAAATCTTGTTTTATTGCCTTTTCCATAACAATTTCGGTCTTTCTCTATCTCTCCTCATATTATTAACTTGGCTTAGGATTCTATAATACACGGTATCTTTGGAGGTCTCATTTGGACATAGCCAAACCATCTCAAACGATGTTGGACAAACTTTTCTTCAATTGGTGTTACCCCTAGGCGATCACGTATATCATCGTTCTGAACTCGGTGTATTCTTGTGTGACCACAAATCTATCGCAACATACGTATTTCTACAACACTCAGTTGTTGAACACGTCGAATCTTTGTAGGCCAACATTTTGCTCTATACAACATAACCAGTCTAATCGTCGTTCTATAAAACTTGTCTTTTAGCTTTTGTGGTACCTCTTGTCATAGGGAATGTCAGAAGCTTGTCGTTACTTGATCCACCCTGCTTTGATTCTATGGCCAACGTCGACATCAATATCTTCGTCCCTCTGTAGCATCGATCCCAGATACCGAAAGTTATCATTCTTAGGTATTACTTACCTTCTAAACTCACATCTCCCTCCTCCTGTGCAGCTTCGCCAATGTCCTATCTCATGTATTTGGTTTAAGTTCTGCTCAATCTAAAACATTTAGACTCAATGGTCTGCCGCCATAACTCTAGTTTCCTATTTACTCTCATTTGGCTTTCGTCCACTAACACTACATCATAGTGTGGCTCATCAACTTAATTTTTCGATAATTAGTACAGCTTTTGATATCTCCAGTGTTCTTGTAGATTGGTACCAATATGCTTCTTCACTCCTCAAGCATCTTGTTCGATCGAAAGATATTGTTGAACATCTTGGTTAGCCATACTATAGCCGAGACATCCCCACACTTTGATCGGATACCATAAGGGCCCATCACTTTGCCCCATTTCATCATTTTAAGGCTTTTTTGACCTTCGATTCTTGAATCCTTCGCACAAAGCGCCTATTAATGTCATCAACGAGTCGTTCAGCTGAACAGTAGTGTTCTTATTCTCACCATTGAATAATTTATCAAAATACTCTTGTCATCTATGTCTGATCTCATACTCCTTCATCAAGAGCTGCTCCATCTCTTCCTTTATACACTGTGCTTGAAGGCCCTTGTCTTCCTGTCGCGAGCCGTAACCCTCCTATAAGATCAAGCGAACAGATGCACAAGGCAGAAGGGTGCAGAGGCGAGCAGCAGCAGAAGGTGGGCAGCCATGGAGATGCTGAGCATGCTGAGGGTGGGGTACACCTTCATGGACTGGGCGGCGCGCAGGTCCCTTGTGCTCCTGGCCATCTCCCCCCCGCCGTACTACATCTACAAGCTCACCACACGTCGGCCTTCGCTGCTGCCGTGCCAGAGGACGTCGCAGGGAAGGTCGTGCTCATCACCGGCGCCTCCTCCGGCATCGGCAAGGTATGCCAACCAGCCCGCTCCCTTCTGTACGCCTATTCTTGGTCAAACCGCTTAAACCATGGATTCTCGTATATCTTTTCATGTTATTTTCCTTAATAATAGTAACAATACCGATGATTACATAAAGGATATTTTGACATGTAGTAATTGTGATGTATAATCCATGCCTGAACAAATGCTAAAATGTTATTGTGTCTGCATATTTTCATTGAGTTACAGATAAATCAGATATAAAAACAAAAAAATGAGGTAAATGAGGATGGGTAATTTTTTTACTGTGCTTTGCCATGAGCCCGTATCTGTATCCAGCAAATAGCTTACCAGTACGCGAAGAAGGGAGCAAGACTGGCGCTAGGGGCGAGGAGGGAGGGAAGCCTGCATGATGTTGCGGCGAGAGCGAAGGATGTTGGCTCGCCGGACGTTCTGGTTGTTGCCGGGGACGTTGCAAATTCGGAGAATTGCCTGAGGTTTGTGCAGGCCACAGTTGAACATTTCGGCCGATGTAAGTTTATGACCTTTAGCTATCTTCTGTATACTGCTAGTAATAGAACAACTACAAAAATTCAAGGTACGATCATTAACTCTGTCTGTTCTATTGTAGTGGATCATCTTGTGAATAATGCTGGTGTAGCAAATGTCTGCTGGTTTGAGGAAGAACCAGATGTTGCTGATTTGAAGCAAGTCCTGGTACGGTTTAGCAGCAGATGCGCTGCTCTATTCTCTTATTTCTCTCAATGAAGGTTCTAGATGTCTGAACTAGTCATGCATGGCGCAGGCCGTAAACTTCTGGGGCGCAGTTCATCCGACCCACTGCGCACTTCCCCATCTGAAGAAGAGTGGTGGGAAGATCGTCTTCGCCAACTCCTCGGCTGCGGCGGTGCTGGCAATGCCACGAATAAGCTTCCACAATGTACATTTCTCGACAGACAGCGATCCAAAACGGCTCTGCGTGTACTCAATGCTCAAATGAATTGCAGGCCAGCAAGGCTGCCGTCCTCAACTTCTTCGAGACGCTGCGGATGGAGCTGGGCGACGAGGTCGGCATCACGATCGCTACTCCCGGGTGGATCGAGTCGGAGATGACGAAAAGGAAGCACCTGTCGAAGGAAGGGACGGTGGAGGTTGATCAAGACACGAGGGATGTGAGTATGAGTACTCGATTCATAGATAATGATGATGATATACTTAGTATTGAAATGGAGCTACTGTAAAAGCTCCTTCCGGGTGCTGGCTGAGTGAATGATGTGTCTGGGTTGTTTTGTTCAGGCTCAGGTCGGCTTGTTCCCGGTGGTGCGCGCCACGCGGTGCGCCGAGGTCATCGTGGACGCCATCTGCCGCGGCCGGCGCCACCTCACCGTGCCGCTGTGGTACCGGGCGCTGTTCCTGTGGCGGACGCTGGCGCCCGAGGTGACGGACTTGAGCCAGACACTGTTCTACCGCCGGACCGCTGGCGGCCACGGTAACCAGGCGAAGGCCAAGCGGAAGCGGTTCCTGGAGTTCACCGGCGCCAAAGGGGTGCTCCAGCCGGCGTCGCTGCACAGCTCGGATATCAAACGGGAGTAGCCAAAAGCTGCAACTGCAATGGTCGCCGGCTTCGTTGAGGCAGCTGGCAGTAACAGAGGGCTTGTCTGTTCGGTAGTACATCCAAATAATGTGGAGCTAAATAGAGAAGATGTAAATAAATAAATGGTCCATCAGCTGTCACGTTCGTTCGTTCGTTGTGTGAAATATATGCGACTTAAACTTTGTGTATATACGTTGTGCCAATTTTTCTTTCTGTGATCAGAGTAATTGCATAGATTGCTCTAAAATATTATTAGCAGCCTAACAAATGGAGATGGTCGTCTGACTCCTGATAATAGCAATTAGCCAATCACTCGCTACTACAAATATCATTTGTAGGGACAGCTTAAGACCATTTGTAGGAGTAGTTTGGCCAGCCGCCCCTATCAAACCGTCTCTACAAATCATATATTTGTAGGGGTGATTCTCAGACCGTCCCTACAAATCGATTTGTAGCGGTGGTTGGTGTTATCAGCCGCCTCTACAAATCGATTTGTAGGGGCGGCTGGTACTACAGCCGCCCCTACGAATCGGCCGCCCCTACAAATTGATTTGTAGGGGCGGCTATAGTACCAACCGTCCCTATAATACCTATTTGTAGGGGCGGTTCAGTCTTGAACCGCCCCTACAGTACATTTTCTCGCCAAAAAAATTTAAATTTACAATTCAAATTCGACCAAAACCGCCATATTTGTTTCCACGTATTCCCGCATTCGCGTTGCGAGTGAACGATCAACGTTCCGAACCGCATTCACTCAACGTCCCACCGAACGCCCCGCGACCAACGTTCCGAACCGCGTTCGCTCAAGAGTATTATATAAACTACAAGCACAAGAGTATTATATAAACTACAATTATAAATCCAATTCACAAGAATATATACAATCTATTATTAAATAGACATAATTCATAAGGTAAAATCAATGTTAAATTCCATACACATTGTTATCAACGACCTAGAGCTAGCCTTTCGGTCTCATGAAGGTGTCGGTATTAAGGATTTCTACCTAAGTCAGACTCTCGGTCATGGTAGGTGCCTTTGACGTGTACAATCTGGTCCAATATGAAGTTGCAAATGTCGCCGACGAGCTCTAAGAGTTGGTCATCCTTGTATGGGTCTCTTTTCATTTCTTTCTCTTCTTTCCACTACAAGTGAACAAGTTTAGGTTTAGTATTTTATACCATGTACGAAGTTTTTATACTATGTGTGAAGAGGTTCAAACTTACTCTTAAGGAGTGTCTTCTGTAGGCACCGGTGTTACTCATCATAGAACATACATAGTATCCACAATGTACACTCCCAGGCTTCTGCTTGGGGCACTGTGTGTTTTGCATATGGAAATGTTAAGTAATGCTTTTGACAGCCATGCAATGTAGTACTAAAGAAGTAAGTTACACTTACCGCACATAGTGTTTTTATAGCCAGCTTTTCCTTCCTTGCTGGATCATGCCTTCCGTGATGTTTAGTGACATAGAACATAAATGCCATGTTCGAATTATTTTAGCAAATACAACTTGTTAGTATCCAAAAGTGAACGTTATAAGTATGTATACAAACATATAAGCTAATGAGGATTGTCGATATGTATACGTCTTGAGAATCGATATGAAGTCTTTGTATGTCACCGGGTCCCTATCTATTGAATCAAAGACACATGTCATGCTCCTCCCGACATCGATGCCTATACAAATCTAGTGGTTGTTGCATGGATTTAATCATAGAACTAGATAAGCTCTTTTGCATCGAATAAAATATATCGAACAAAGCTTTAAGTATAGAGTTGAACTTACTCGAAGTTATATGGTAGCCATATAGTAGAGTGCTGTTGGAGAATTTTGAAAGCTAGGGCAATGTATGCCGCAACCTTAAGGGACTCTTCCCTTAGTTTCGCCGTACGGATGTGCTCTTTCCCCCGAAGGTTCTTTCCAGCAGCTAGCTCTTTGGCATCCAGTTTCCACTATTTAGGGTAATTATAATTTATTTATGCTATAGCTTGAGGGTCTATATACCCAGCTTTCACATTTGGCATTTGTTTGACAATGTGCACTTGCATTCTGCAAATCACGGCGTGGGTTAGTTACAACAAAATTCAAAAATTACATTCATATCATATTAGGAGGATAAGGACTTACAGGCACCATGTGCGAATTAGATTCATCTCCATTGCTCCGAGGTGAAATCATGTCTGCATGTTATTGAAGTCAAAGACAATTTTTCCGACTGGACTTCCAAATGTGCCGGTGGGGAAGCATGCTTGTACGAGGTCTATGCTTGTTGGGAGAACACGCAAGTACCAATCATGGAACCTTCTCATTCCAAGTGGTAGGCGCTGGATGTCCCAGTTTGGTAGGAAGGGCTTGCCTGTTTCATATGTTTTCGGGCAATTCTTTGATCATTTGATGGCATCAACATTTGGATATTGCTTTGCTGTTTGGTGGAGTTTGCTAGTGACGGCCTCCTCAGAACCACATGATGTGACTTTTTTAACTTGGTTCTTAGGCTTGAACTGGTCATGGGAATACCACTTGTGCACCGATGAGACGTCTTTCATCGGAACATAAACTGGTCTTATAGTGATTGGATGCTTCTTTCGAAGTTCCCATTCAGGCATGTCCTCATCTTCTTGTGCATCACCTTTTTTCAGGAGGCACTCGTTGTTCTTGTATCGGCTGTGCTTGTTGAGAAGACTGTGGCATCTCATCATGCACTTGCTCGGTATGAGCTGGAGAAGGTTGTAGCTTATTAGGCACATGCTCGCTAGGAGGCGGGGAAGAATGTGGCATCTCAGGAATGTGGTGGTCATGAGACGGTGAAAATATCTCCCCGACCTCAACAACTCGCTCCAAATTTGGGAGAGGGGGATGCGGCGAAGAAGCAGTCAATATATTGTCCCATTTGTGCCAGAGAATGAACTGCCCCATAACGTCTCCGAGTAACACCAGCCCCTCAGGAGTTGCATAGTCTATCCTCCACTGCATGAACTCAAGCTTCACGGTATGTACCTTGACCCTAGTGTAGTCCGGCGGTATCTTATTATTGTGGTGTAAGCCACCGGGAGGATGTGCCACACCTGTTGCCACCGCCATCACAATGTTCTGCCGGTCGCTGAGAAACACCAAGGTGCAACTAGTTGGTTCCCGTATACGATCGATGGGGGTTGTGGCTGCAGTGGAACCTTGGCTGCTAGGAACTTTCGGAGGGCTGTCAACTAATGCCAGTTCTCCCGGTAGCGTCATTAATATCCGTAGCTCCGTAGACAGTCCTTGCTCCTCCAAAGCCTTCGCAACTAGAGCCTTCACTTAGAGCTCAAGATTAGTCTCCCGGTCTCTGTCATGTTTCTTGTACATGTGCATATCCTCTTCGAATCTTTGCTTACAGGTCATCCTTTTCCCTAACCCAATGGTGTGGTCTGTGTGCTCCTTGTTTTCTAAGCCAAGGCTAAGCTCGTCCCTCTCTCTAGAAGGATTGAATGAGCCATTCTCCTTGTCTTCAGCATATTTCAGTATCCGTGATACTGCCTCTTGGGTCTCTGGCTTATCAAACTTAAGATTACCACAGGATGATTCTGTACTCCTCGCATATATCCAATTCCTTGAGCGTACCTTCAAATTCGTCACATCGATATTCCCAGCAGCTATGGCCTCTTCGTCCATCTTTCTAAACTGCTCTTCCTTGGCATAGTAGCCACCGGGGCCTAGATGATGGTGGTGTTTGTTCCTCTTCGCCAGCTCGGTGTTACGGGCACTGAGCTCCAATGCCTCCGGTGAAGTCTTCTAAGCCACGAGCTCCTCCTATTGACTAGGAGTTATGTTGCCGAACTCGTTGGAGAGAGTTAACCCCTTTTGGATATACTTCTTGTTGAGCTCCGACCTCCAACCTCCAACGTCGGAATGACTCTCCCATCATCCTAAAAGCATTTTTTTTACCAATTTTGCTTACCCTCCGGAAATCTAAAATTGAGCTTCAGCTGTCTATCCCATAGTTCATCCTTTTTCTTCTCTGGTACCTCTTTCCAGTTAGGGATTGCTGGGTTTAATTTATCTCTAACTAGGGCCCCGATCGCATTACGGAATCGTCCTCTTAATTCCTTTGGCTCAAGGATCTCCCCTGCTGGCCCGACCTCCGTTCTCACATAGCATGTCTTATCTGGATATTGATTTGCTTTTCTATCCCCTCGTTCCCTCTTAGTCTTGATAGTCGTGGTTGTGTCTTGAGGTTGTGGAGCAGAGGCCTCAATGTCCGTCTCTGTGGCTGTTGCCTCTGCTCTCCTTTCCTCTACTCCGTCTTGTCCAGCGAGATGTCGCGGACGTCGACGTCGTCTTTTCTGAGTTTCAGGAGAGACCTGTATATACGACAGGTCAAAGTGTTAGCAGAGGTAACATAGTCAAAGCTTTAGCAAAATTTACAAGTTAAGGCTTTATCCCTACCTCCTCGTTCGGGTCAAAATCCTTATCCAAATCTTCCTCCGTTGGCCTCCTTCTGGCTTCACGTGGGATAGGATCCTCGGGACTTACATATCACTCTTCTGAGTCATCATCATCATCATTCTCTTCTTCTTCGCCTTTAGCAGCCTCTCCTGCTCTTTCTTCTGCTCTCCTTCCTCCTCGTCACACTGCTCCTGAGTAAGCATTACTTTTAGATCCTTTTCTAACTCGTTATTGAACTGATCCTGAGTAAGCTGGTCCTCTAGTTCTTGCTCCTCATAGGTCGGCTGCTCATCATGCTCGGGGCATCGGGCTGCACTGTCTGGTGTCCACGATATTATTTCGCGCTTTGTTCTAATAGATGCAAGAAAGTGTGCTTTAGGTACGCGAGAAGGTATAAGAAATAAAAAAGGTTTATAAATCAAAGTAGTCCTATAAAACAATAATATATCAAAAAATGAGTAGTAGCAGTAGTAGAGACCTCAGAAACATGTCAATCATCATTTGATCATGAACTTGGAGCATCAAGGCATCATAACAGCGAAGATATGAGAAGGTAATATAGGGGCAGCTGC